GCCCGTGTCCTGCGGCGGCCCCCGGGCCCCACTGCACGCTGGTGCGCTGAGTGGCCCGGCTACAGCGCTCTGACAGTGAGGGGGGTGGGAAGGCCGGGGAAGGGGAGGAAGACGCCAGGCTGCAGGGTGAGAAGTTGAGGGAGCTGTGGCGCAGGCGCCAGCCTCTGCAGGCTTGGGGTGCAGAAGCCACTGAGCTCTCGAGCGAGAGGCATCTGCGTGGAGAACACTCCAGTTGCTGGCTCCAGCTCCGGCGCGAGGGCAGTCAAGGCCCGCTCAAGGCCCGCGGGCCCTCCCTACACTGGGCGAGTCCTGGGGTGGCCCGTGGTGGGGCCACGAGGGCTGGTAGGGGCGCAGGCCCCACCCAGCGCTGGGGCTCCCCTCCCAGCCAGCCCGGCGCACTCAGGCCGAGACCGACTTCCCGTGAGGGCCTGCAGTGGTGCTCTGCACACTGGACACCGGCCCTGTATTTCAGCAAAGTGTGCTGTCGCTGTCGTTTTTCAAAATTGATGCAAAGTGAAAATTTTGACCTGCAAGCTGAATCCCTGAAGCGTTCTGCATACATACCGCCGGGGGGCAGCGGCTTCAGGACACTCAGGCTTCAGCCCCTGAACTGGGCTGGCCCTGGAGAAAGAAAGCGGCGGTGTGTTGTGTGTCCTGCAGGTGCGAGGGTGGTGGACACGCAGCTGGGGCGTGAGGTCCGGTGGAGCTGTGGGTCTGGTGGGGTGTGTGGGCTTCTGGTCTAGGGCAGGCGCAGGGGTGTGAGGGTGGGTGTGGGTTCTGGATGCGGCAATGTCTGACAAGTAAGCTCTGCTCCAAGTCGCTCCAGCTTCCCCCGTGCGTCCCCCACAAATCCCTCACCACCGCCCCCAACCCCCGCTGTTGGGTCAGTTGTCCGCTGGCCGGTGCACCTCCTCCCTGGCTCCACAGCCTGTAACCCTGATTTCAGGCTGCTGTTCTCTGGCTTCGGGCTCTGTCGCAAGACACCAGTCTTAAAGCGCCTGCGACCCCACACCAGGAGTCCCAGACAGTCCCCCCAACCCCCCTGCTCTCCCACCAGCCAGGCGAGAGGCTGGAGGCTGGCATTCTGGGTGCAAAAGTTTGCAGAAAGCAACTTATCGCTACAGTTTCTAACTCTGATGACTTACTGCGTGCCTGGAACAGTGAAGTAGCAAAATGAATCGTGTGTCCCTTCTTGCATAAACAATCCCAGCGTCAGGTCCTTTCCGCTACTGTTTCCCCCTCTCCTTTTTTACTGGATTCTCCCATGCTGACCAGACCACTTCAACACCAGCCACAGCCAACAAGCACATTCCCCCTGAACTCTTCCCCCTCCGGCACAGCCAGCAAACCTGACGGTCACCCCCAATCACCAGGGGCCCTGCTCTGGATGCCGGGGTGCCTGTGCTGTCCACGCATTTGGTTAACTATGGTCACTGACCTACGGACATATGGGAAGGGCCACATCCCTCTTAGCTGCGCACCCCTCCAGCCCCCCCGCACCTGCCTGGTGAGTGGCCTGATCATGGTCCCGGGGCCCCATCTTCCTCTGTCTTCCCTGACAAACCGAAAGTGCCATCCAGAGCCTTGGATGGGCCCCTGGGATGCTGTGCTGGCCTTGTGCCAAATGCATTCGTTTTGGGGAATTTCCTGGCAGAACAAGATGTCCCAGGCTCGCTCACCATTCCAGTCTCGTGCGGGGGTGCTCCTGGCTAGCTTTCAGCTTCCGGGAAATTTCTTCTACCTCTGGGTCCAGCCCTGCAGCAGGCCACTCTTGGGGGGGACACCCACGGGGACTAAGACTACCCCTGGACATGCATGGCCCTTCACTGAGGCTGCAGGAGCCTGGGCGTGGCCGTGACAGGAGAGAACCCCAGGCTAAGCTGAGCCCAGGGAACCCCAGAGCAGGAGAGAACCGGCACCCCTGCGTTCCCGGAAGACCCCACTGCTCTGCACCTCTGGAGGCCTTCAGCCCCGGCCCACCCGCGGGTCCCTGGGTGGAGGAGCGGGTCTGGGCCGTGGATGGCAGGTCTCGCGGGGACCCCACTTGGGAACCCCACTGGGCGCGCAGCAGCCGGGCGCCCCGGCTCCCAACCCTGGACAGCGCCCCAGGTGCCCGGGTTCCTGGAGTCCGGCGGGAGGGTGGGCTGGTGGGGAGGGCGGGGCGGAGAAGGTGAGCGGCCGGCCACCCTGCTCCTCGGCCAGGTCGCTGTTTCCAGGCGACGGCCGAACGCGGGCGCCTGGCAGCTGGCGACACACAGGTCCGCCCGGCTCTGCGGCGCGACCGATCAGACGACCCGACGGCAGCAGCGGCCATGGACGCGGGCGGCGAGGAGGACGACGAGGAGGCGATCTCCGCCGCCACGCTGCGGGGCAAGCCCCGGCCGCTGCCCACCTCGGCGCAGTCCGCCTTCAGCTACGTCCCGCCGCGGCGCCTGGACCCCAAGGAGCACAGCTACTACT